AGCAAAACAAAACAAAAGCAGCAATGAGGACAAAATCTCTCAAATTTCCTATCTCGTTTCAAATGTAAGATTTCAATTACCGTGATCTACCTACCGAACAGCACATATTGAGAAATTGAAAAGAGAATCACATTTGAAATATTTCTTTTACGATTCAGCCAATGAATAGTACAATAAATGAAAAAAAAGGTACTGATAATTAAGTCTCACAAATGAAAATACTGCTTTACTAAGTCGATTGATAATCGAAGGAAAATTTCCGATGCAAGAGACGCAAACCGATTCCGTTACCAGGCTCGCTCTTTCCCCTTTGCGTCCCTTGTCGTTTACGAAAGACAAGCGGGGAGGGAAAAAGGAGAGAAGTAGGTTGACATAAACGTACGTAAAACTTTTTCGAAGAGGACATGGGAGGGATTATATGGGTCCTGGGTGGACGGCTTACGGCCATGTCGCCGGAAAGTCATCTTATCGGAAGTCGTGTCGCCCAAAACTTTTAGTCATGTCCGATTTTTTATTACATGTAAAAACATACCAATGGAAAATTATGACAAAGCCCTGAAGGTACCAATCGATTGGAAAACCCTTCTGGTGCATTTCTTTACGTCACCGGACCTTCCACAGTGAGATTTCACAGTTAATACTGCCTGATTCAAACGTTACGTTCAGTTTCGAACCCAAGACCTTCTCTATCCCTGTTAGAATCTCATGTCTTTAGACCGAAAGGAAGCCTCGTCGAGCAATACTATTAATCACTAATTAATTAAAGTTTGAATCCCACATCTGTGGTAAATGATGTTTTTTTTTATTTCAAATGACAACCAAGATGATCAACATGGACAGCAAAGAAGAAGTTATAAGGACCGTTCACATGGGTTTGGTAATCGCAGTCTTCCTTCTCAATACAGGTCGTGGGTTACAAGTTATCGATTTATGTAAAGAATGCTTAAGAGTACTAAACAATAAGGCGCTGAGCATCAATAGTTCATTGGCGAACTTGATGTTCCCATCCTTTTACATAATAATGCTCCATGCTTACAGTGCCAGAAGAGATTACAAAAGTACAGAAATATGTCTCAGGAAACTTCTCCTATACCACTCTGATGACATTATAAAAGAGTGGATTAATTTAAAGCTTGCACGAACACTTCACGCACAAAGTAAGTTTAAACAGGCCAAGACATTTTATGAGCAAGCAACAAAATTTATGGAATCAATTGGCGACAGAAAAGGAAAAGCACAATGTTACGGTGACCTGGGAATGCTATTCCAATCACTTGGTCAATATGACAAGGCCCGAGAATATATGGAGAAAGCACTCGCTATCACAATAGAAATTGGCGACAGGGATGGAGAAGCAACAAGCTACGGAAGCCTAGGAACATTGTTCCGATCGCTTAATCAATATGACAAGGCCCAAGAATATCAGGAGAAAGCACTCGCTTTCAGAATAGAAA